AAAGCTCTACCAAGCACTCAAACGATCCAATGGAGGCTGCTGCAAATTCAGCACAGAAGATCCCCTTTCCCATGTGCTCTATCAAGCTGAACAGAGACAATTTTATCCTATGGAAGTCATTGTCACTGCCACTGATCAGAGGTGCTAAGATGGATGGATATATCCTTGGAACCAAGAAATGTCCAAAAAAATTCATAATCGAAGGAAACAACAAAAAGGCCAATCCCGATTATGAGGAGTGGATAACAAATGATCAACAGCTCTTGGGGTGGATGTTCAACTCCATGAAAGAAGATACTGCAATACAACTACTATAAGACATCCAAGGAACTTTGGGAGGAAGCTCAAAGCTTGGCTGGTGCACATACCAAGTCTCGAGTTACTTTATTGAAGTCCGAATTTCATAGCTGTAGAAAAGGCTCAATAAAGATGGAGGACTATCTCATCAAAATGAAGACACTAGCAGATAATCTCAAGCTTGCAGGAACTGCAATTCTAACATTGGATTTAATTATTCAAACCCTTGCTAGCCTAGACTCTAACTATAATGCAATAGTGGTTCAATTATCTGATAAAGTTAGTCTAACGTGGGTTGACTTGCAGGCACAACTCTTGAACTTTGAAAACAAGTTAGAACAGTTGAATAACTTCTCTAGTCTCAACCTGAATCCTTTAGCCAATGTGGCCATTAAAGTCAACTTCAGAGGAGGCAGATCTTACAATCAAGGAGGATGGAGAGGCTCAAATTAACAAGGATCAAGAGGTGGAAGAGGAAGAGGAGGAAGGACCAAAGATAAATCAACATGTCAAGTCTGTGGTAAGGTTGGACACACAACTGTTCATTGCTTCTACCGTTTTGATGAATGTTATATGCAACATTATGAGGAAAGGGCAGAAAAACACAATGTTTTCATTGCATCATCTAACTCAGTTCGAGATTCCAACTGGTACTTTGATAGTGGTGCTTCAAATCATGTCACTCATGATTTTGATCAGCTTTAAGAATATGTTGAACATGATGGTAAGCAGAATCTAATGGTTAGTAATAATGATAAATTAAGTATTTTAGCCTCTGGTACTGCCATTGTGAATACTAGTCAGAAACAACTTAATTTGTATGACATTCTTTATGTTCTTGACATCACCAAAAATCTGTTAAAGTATTTCCAGACTTGCTACTGACAATAATACTATTGTTGAGTTTGATGCCACTCAATGTTTTATGAAGGACAAATTGATAGGGAAAATTCTACTAGAAGGGAGAATTAAGGATTGCTTGTACCAGCTCTCAAGAGGTCTTTCTCAGCCAAATTTAAACCCAAGAGTCTTCATTTCTATTAAAGAGAGTTGGCATAGGAAGTTTGGTCACCCTAGTAGCAAAGTTTTGGATAAGGTATTAAAAGCCTGCAAAATCAAAGTTCCATCAAGTGATCAATTTAGTTTTTGTGAAGCTTGTCAGTTTAGAAAGTCACATCTCTTACCCTTTAGGACCTCTACATCTCATGCTAAAGAAGCACATGAATTAATTCATACAGATGTATGGGGTCCAGCTCTAATAAATTCAATTTATGGTTTTAAATACTATGTGCACTTTCTGGATGATTTTAGTAGATTCATTTCGATTTTTCCTTTGAAGCAAAAATTTGATGTGTTACAAGTGTTTGTTCAGTTCAAAGCTTTAACTGAAAATCAATTTGATAAAAAGATTAAAATGATTCAATGTAATGGTGGTGGAAAGTACAAAGGTGTTCAAAAATTGGCCCAAGAATATGGTATTTAGTTAAGAATATCATGCCCCTACACCTTACAACAAAACGGTAAAGCAAAAAGAAAGCATAGGCATATAGTAGAACTTGATTTAACCTTGCTAGCACAAGCATAAAGGCCATTATACTATTGTTGGGAAGTCTTTTCTACTGCAGGCTACTTAATTAACAGATTGTCAACACCTACCATTGGAAAACAAATCCCTTATTCACCCCTCTTTCTCAAGGAGCCTGACTACAGTACACTAAAACCCTTTGGCTGTGCATGTTATCCCTATCTTAAGCCATATAATAGGAACAAGTTACAGTTTCATACTACCAGATGTGTTTTCCTTGACTATGGTAGCTCACATAAAAGGTATAAGTGTATGAACTCGAATGGAAGGGTGTTTGTCTCAAGACATGTGGTTTTCAATGAAGATTGCTTCCCTTTCCATGATGATTTTCTAAATACAAAGAAGCCTACTGATGTCCTAATTGAACCAGCTTCTTTCTTTTACCCTTTTTCACCTGCAGGTACTAGCAATGGCCAGGAAACAAATTAAAAAATTATTCATCGATTAAGTTGAGTTGATACAAACTATTCAAAACTTTTCCTTTTTCTTTTATTATGGTCTAACTAGTGCATTTCTCTTTCAGATTCATGGTCAGGTCCAATTTCCATTAAATGGCTAAGGTTTTGATGCATAATACGTTTTAAGAGTTTTTTTTAAATATTAAAAATATATTTAGAACTTGTGTGTAAATATTAATTTAAATAATATAATATTAAAAATTAAATAATTTGATAGTGATAAGCTCAATCTCTATTATTTCATTCATCATTTGGCAAATAACAGAAACTAAATTCTGACATTTTAAATAAACTATTAGAAACTGAATGCTAATAAAAAATTTCTAAAAATTTATCAAATATGATACTATTTTTATAGATAATAAAAAAATAATTAAATCTATTCTATACAAATAATGCAACAGTTAAACTAAATTTTATATTTTACAATGGTTTTGTAACTATATGTAATAGTTTCTAATATAAATTTGACAAACTAATAGGGCGTAATATTAATAAAAGTAACTGGTAGTGGACTATAGATTCCATAATAAACTAATAAAATATGAAATATTATTTTCATAGACATAAATAAAAAATATTGAGCATTAACATTTTTTAAGTTATTATGAAATACTATGTTATGCAAATGTAATATGCAACTCTTTTATATATTGATGATTTTCTTACTTTATGCAAAATTTAAAATATAAGAAATTAATAGAGAAATTTTTTTTATTTAAATATAAAACTTAATTTTATTAAGGTATTGAATTTTATATATTTATTAAAAAAATTATATATAAATTCTTATTTATAATTCAAATTTGTCGATATCTATTTCCTCATTACTGTGGTTTTGTCAATTACAAATTCGAAGCTTATTTAAACTGAAAATGGAAATGAGATTACTCACAAATCCATGCAAAAATAATACAAAGGATCCCCTGCAGTTGGAAAAATAACTGAAGGGACAGTTTCATCTTTAACCATTCATTTTTTCTTAATCATATTCTTCTATCAATATTTTAGTTAAATAAAAAATTATATTGATAGTTGAAATTTATGCAGTTGGGAAAGGAACTGCTAAGAGATGTAAAATATAATCCCTAAGAAAAAATATTTTTGTACTAGTGTAAGTTTAAAAATTCTTACACTTAATTTGAATATTTTATTTAATTTATATTTAACATATTATAATTTATTAGACTTTTATAATATAACTTGATTTGCCTTTTCCTTGATATGGTTTTCATCATTCAATCTAACCAAAACTTTGAAATTTTAATAAACGACCCAATTGGATTCAACATCTTTACATTTTCATTCATGCCTCCAATCAAGCTCGATTCAAAATCACAACTGTACTGGATAGGGAATAACTCGGTCCTACTTATAGGAAAAGGAAACTAAGTACCTATTCGGCCTAACTGGCTGGATACTTTTTGTCAAGATTAAAAGATAATTAACCCAATTAAGGTAATAATCAAGATATTATTTATTTTAATTTAATTAAAAGGCCAAAGATCAAGACTGGCTTAGCAGACCCATTAGCCCATTACAGTGCCTATATAAGAAAGGTAAAAATACAGGTAAAAGGTTGACTTTTCATTACTAAAATAGTATTTATTACTCAGAACTGAATCCTGACTTCAGCATCGGAGTACCTTTTGCAGGTACCCTCCCCACGTCAGCAATAATCAGAGAGATGTCATCACTGCAGATCAGAGACTTGAAGATTAGTGTTTCTCAAGCAAGAACATTTTGGCGCCACTATGGGGCACGATTAGCCTCATTTTTCAGATTAATCATGGTACTAACGAGAAGTCAGCAGGAAGGGCAGACTCAATAGGGAGGAACCTTTCGGCAACATCTGGAGGAGGTTACACCAGATGAACCAACACCTGAAGTTGTGATGCAAGGGGGAACCGACGAGAGCATTTTAGCTATACTGAGGCAGCTCAAAGCATAAATGACGGAGATGAAGAAGAAGAGAGAGAAGGATGCACTGGAGCTCTCGGCTTTGAGAAGAGATAAGAACACACATCCCTTCCCAAACTACACCCATCATCCAGGATCAGGGGGAATCCTCGGCGTTGCAAGAGAAATCAAAGCAGGTCTATCAATCTGAAGCCAAAAATGACAGAGACGATCTCGTGAGCCGAAGCCCCTTCGTTTACCATATCTTGGAGGCTAAGCTGCCCGATAATTGGAGAGGGTTAACAATAGATAAATATGATGGCACATCTGATCCGAGAGAACATTTGGATGTCTTTACAACTCAAGTCAATCTGTACACCGAGAATGATTCTTTATGGTGTAGGATTTTTTCCACCTCACTCTGAGGGCCTACACTCAGTTGGTTCACCCGACTCCTCCCTTCGTCCATCGACTCTTTTGTAACACTCGCAAGACGGTTCAACTTACAGTTCGCCACAAGCCAACCTCATCTCTTAACATCCCTAGCGCTGGTTAATATTCGCCAAGAAAAGGAAAAGTCACTTAGAGCGTTCATGGAATGCTTTGACAAAGTGACCCTTTTGATCCATAATTTGGAACCAGCAGTGGCTATGCACCACCTCACAACGACCCTAAAGCCAGGACCTTTTGTTGATAGCATATGCAAAAAACCACCTGTCGACCTAGACGAGTTAAAAAGTTAGGCTGCAAAGTATATACAGATGGAAGAATTGTCTGAGTACCGAAACCAGGTGCAGATGGACCAAGGGTCAAATTCAAAAAATACAGACAGGAGAGAAACTTTCAAGGCTCGGCAGGAAAATAAAGAGAGAAGAAATGAGCTTGAAAGACCGACCAGGGGACCTAAATATCCTTCATACACTACGCTCAACACCAATCGGTCCAGAGTACTTGACCAGGCATTGGCCACAGAAATATTGAGAATGCCTAGACGCGCCAACACCCTTCCTCGGGCAAATAAAAGCAAGGCTTGCCACTATCATCAAAACAGGGGTCACATCACCGAAAAGTGCATAGTGCTGAAAGATAAGATTGAATAATTTATCAAGAAAGGACATTTAAAAAATTTTATACAAATAGATCCCATCGGTCAAACTAACAGAGGAAGAGACCGATACCCTGAACCACCGAGGAGATCCGAACGACAGAGGAGTAGGTCCAGGGAACCCACAACTAGAAGATACGATGAACGTGAGAAGTATCCTAAAAGGGTCATTAATACCATAGCTGGAGGGTTTGCCGGTAGAGGACCTACCCATTCGGCCAGAAAGAGACATTTGAGGCAAGTCAGATCAGTCAACAATATCTCACTCGGTAGTAGGATTCGGATTTCCCATATTACATTTACTGATGAAGACTTTCAAGGAGTGGATCCTATACAAGATGACCCCATGGTGATAAGTGTAGACATTCTCAACTGCACTGTCCGGAAAACACTCATAGACCAGGGGAGTTCAGCCGACATCCTCTACTGGAATACTTTCAAGCAATTGGGAATACCAGAAGAGGAACTCAAAGAATATCGTGAAATCCTAGTCTGTTTTTCAGGGGAACGGGTGGAGACTCGTGGGTGTATTGACCTTTACACCTCATTTGGATCAGAGCAAAAAGGAAAAAACATCAAGGTCACGTACTTGGTAGTTCATGCAAATACCTCGTACAACATATTACTCGGTAGGCCATCCCTTAACCAACTTAAAGCTATAGTATCTACTCCACATTTGGCTATGAAATTTCCATCAGAAAGGGGCCGAATAGTCACAGTGCATGCTGATCAGAAGACAATGAGGGAGTCCTATTTTGCAAGCTTACGCATCAGACCACTCCAAGAATATAAACGAGATGTCAATATTGTGACCCCTAGGTCTGAGGAAGACATAGATATTGAACTTGATCCTAGGATTGATGAAGGGTGTCAGGTTAAGCCCAATGAAAATAAGCAACCTTTTCAGCTTGGACCGAAGCCTGAACAGGTTACTTACTTGGGAGTCGGCCTATCCAGCCAAGAAAAACAGGAGCTCCAGAAGACATTGATACAAATGCTGATTTATTTGCCTGGTCGGCTTTTGACATGCCTGGCATCGATCCAACATTTATTTGTCATCACCTCTCGGTTTATAAAGCAGCGAGACTAATAGCCCAAAAGAAAAGGAAAGTGAGAGGTGACAGAGCAAAAGCAGTAAAAGAAGAGACTGCTAAATTAATACAGGCCGGTTTTATCTGAGAGGTTAGGTACTCTACCTAGTTGGCCAATGTAGTCATGGTCAAAAAAGCAAATGGCGAATGTGTACCGACTACACAGATTTAAACAAAGCATGCCCAAAAGATGCTTACCCACTCCCTAGCATTGATGCCTTAGTAGACAGCGCAGTAGGGCACAGAATGTTCAGTTTCTTACCAAATCCGAATATATCCGCCGGATGAGGAAAAAATTGGATTCATCACTGATTTCGCTAATTTTTGTTACCGAGTAATGCCTTTCAGTTTGAAGAATGCTGGGGCAACCTACCAGAGGCTGATGAATAAAATTTTTGAAGGACAAATAGGCAAATGCATGGAAGTATATGTTGATGACATGGTAGTCAAATCTGTCAAATTAGAGCACCACCTCATGCACTTAAAAGAAGTATTCGGTCAAGCTCGGCGGCATGGGATGCGGTTCAATCCTGAAAAATGTACATTTGGTGTAGTTGGCAGTAAATTTTTGGATTACATGTTATCCGAAAGGGGGATCGAGGCAAACCCTGATAAATGTCAAGCTATCATCGAGATGGCTAGTCCTCGGAATGTCAAGGAAGTTCAACGACTAGCCGGCAGGATCGCTTCCCTTTCCAGGTTTCGTCCCATAATGGCAGAGAGATCTCAGCCTTTCATTAACTTGCTTAAAAAATCTCAAAAATTTGCTTGGAATGACAAGTGTGAGGCCGCCTTCACCCAATACAAAAATATGCTAGCAGCACCACCCGTATTAACAAAACCGCAGCATGGGAAAGAGATGATTATCTACCTGGCAGTGTCGGATAACGCCATCAGTTCCGTCCTGTTACAAGAAATACCTGAACCGGCCCCAGTTTATTTCATCAGCAGAACGCTCTAAGGTCCCGAATCCTGGTATCAATTAATGGAGAAAGTGGTGCTTGTCCTAGTCCACATAGCTCGTCGGTTAAGACACTACTTTCAAAGTCATCGGATGGTGGTACGGACAGATTGTCTAATGTCCAAAATTTTAAGAAAACATGAGTTAGCTGGTCGGTTGGTAGCATAGGCAATAGAATTATCCCAATTTGATATACACTCTGAAAGTCGACGCCTCCTTAAAGCTCAAGTACTTGTCAACTTTGTCAATGAATTCACGACTCAGCCACACACCAGTTGGGATATGTGCAACTTGCACGTTAATGGATCATCAAACCAATCTGGTAGTGGAGCAGGAATTATACTTGAAGGCTCGAACACTGTAACAATTGAATAATCCATTTGGTTTGGATTCAAAGCCTCTAATAATCAAGCTGAATATGAAGCCCTCCCCGGCCTCAAATTGGCAAGGGATGTTGGAGTAAAACGTGTCACTTGTTGGAGTGATTCAAAGATAGTGGCCGAACAGGTCAATGGAACATATCAGGTGAAGGATTCGGTCATGCTCCAATATTACCAAGAATTTAAAAATATAGAAGCTGAGTTTGATGAGGTATGTGTTTGATACACCCCGAGAACAATGAATAAACAAGCCGATAAGCTTGCTAAGTTAGCCTGCCAAAGAAAACCTGGGCAATTAAAAAGCGTAATTCACCAAGAAATCCTTAAATCGAGCATAGTTAAGCAAGAGTGCATGGATATAGAAAATATACCTCACAACTGGATGACCCCCATCATCCAATACCTTACCAACAACAGCTTGCAAAATGATCCAGACTTGGCTAAGAAGATAAGAATTCATGCAGCCAAATATCTTCTCCTCGGCAAAAACTTATATAGAAAAGGGATTTCAACACCTATGCTTAAATGTCTTGACGATGACCAGGCTAGTTACGTCATGAGAGAAATTCGCGAAGGTATATGTGGAACCCATTCGGGCCAACGAACCATGGCAGCAAAAATACTCAGAGCTGGGTACTATTGGCCGACACTCGCCCAAGATTGCCACGCGTTTGTAAAGAAATGCATCCCTTGTCAGCAACATAGTCCTCACTTGCACCAACATGCCGACATCCTCCACCCTATTAGCTCTCCCTGGCCCTTTGCTATTTGGGGTATGGACCTCCTCGGTCCTTTTCCCTTGGCAAAGGGACAATGTAAATTTCTCATTGTCGCCGTGAATTACTTCACTAAGTAGATTGAAGCTGAGCCCCTTGCTACCATTATGGCTAATAACGTTCAAAAGTTCACTTGGTTACGGATAATGGGCTACAATTTACAGATCGACAATTTAACAAGTTTTTAGAAGGGCTTCACATCAAGCACAGGGTCACGTCCGTCGAACATCCTCAAACCAATGGTAAAGTCATCTTACGTGAATTAAAAAGAAGGTTGGGGTCGGCAAAAGGGGAATGGGCAGAGAAGCTACCCGAGGTACTATAGGCTTATCGTTGTACGCACAAACTACCACAAAAGAAAACCCTTTTCGGTTAACCTATGGTACTGATGCAATGGTACCGGTCGAGATTGGAGAACCATCTTTTCGAAGGGAGAACTTTGAGGAATCGACCAATGGCGAATCCCTAGCTGTCAATTTAGACCTGCTGGATGAAGTCTGTGGCCAAGCAGCAATAATGATCGAAGCTAGCAGAAGAATGATGGCTAGGAAGTTTAATTCTAGAATCAACCCAAGACAATTTTATGAGAACGACTTGGTATGGCGAGTAACCGGAGATGCACGACGAGACCGATGGGAAGGAAAGTTGGCGTCTAATTGGGAAGGACCATTTCGGGTATCGGCAACATTAGACAATAGAGCATACAAATTGGAGACACTAGAAGGAAAGCTTATGCCAAGAACTTGGAATGTCACACATTTGAAGCATTACTTTAGTTAACGACTTGTAATTTGTATTTGGTGTACTCTTTTCCTCGCTTAGGTTTTGTCCTCTTAATAGAAAGTGAAAAGGAGTTTTCCTGGGAAGGTTTTTAACGAGGCACCTTACCAATGAAATATTTCTCATTTTCTCAGTTATGCACTTCTTTCAAGCAATTCCTTTTGAATTATTTCCCTCCTGAGTCTCCTAGTCGATTAAGGATGAATCATTATTTAATTTCCCTCCCGAGTACTCCTACTTGGCCAAGGACGAATCATTATTTAATTTCCCTCCCGAGTACCCCTACTCGGTCAAGGATGAATCATTAATTATTACAAATTCCCTCCTGAGTACCCCTACTTGGCCAAGGATGAATCATTTTGGTTTTCCCTCCCGAGTACCCTTACTCGGCCAAGGATGAATCACTTTTGAAATTACCCTCACAAGTATTGGTTAAGGTTGAATTAATAAATTCTCTCCCGGGTACCCTTACTCGATCGAGGAATGAGACAAACAAAAGTATTTGGCTTAATTGTTATATAGAGACTTAGAAGGAAATGAGCTAAACTTGTATTTCACTTGAAAGAATTACAAAATTTGGGCACTATCGGCCCATGAATACAAAAGAAAATCCAAAAACTATTTAATTTCCCTCCTCTCCAGCATCTGGACCGGAGACATTAAGATCAGGAGCTTCAAGACTAGGGGCTTCGGAACCAAGAACGTTATCATCGGCGTCAGTTAGGTTAGGGGCTTCGGCGTCAGGTTCCACATCATTATCAACCTCATCATACGATAAGAACCTGCCACCAAAGAAGTCCTTGGTGAGGTCAAACTGGAAGTCAGCTGGCACTTGGTAGAATCCATAGCATTGGCGAACAGCCTTATTGAAGCCCGACTCATGTTTAAAAGCAACTTGCTCCGAACACTTGTCGGCAAAGGCTTTCAGGTCAGCCTCCGCTTTTTGCTTTTCAAGAGCCAAGGCCGCCTCCATTTCAGCAGATTTGGTCTTTAAAGCCTCAATCTCCAAGGACTTTGTTCTTAAAGCCGCCTTCATCTCTGCAGATTTCACCCTTAACGCCTCGTCCATCTATGCCATAATGCTCCTTATACTGAGTAACCTCGGCTTCCAGTAATTGCATGGTCTCGGTAAGGCTTGACTAAGTCTCTTTGCTCTCAGCCAAAGATTATTGTGAAGTCGAGTATGCCTTCTCGGCATTTTTTAACTCAAGTATAGGATCCACAACTAATCTTCGGAGCATGGAGGCAGATCGCACTTGCATCTCCGCATAGCACCACCACAATGCTTCCAGATCTAAGTTGTTGACCACATCTTTTCCCAAGTCAGAAAGCAGGTTTGGACCAGTTAACTGACCGGCATGCACCCCGGGATTCAGGAAGGAGTCAGATATAACGACTGGAGGAATCGCAGTATTTGAAGAACTGCTGACCATAGCCATCACAGCACTTTGAGCTTGCTTACGCGATCCTTTGTCACTATTCATTCAGCCGAACCGAATGACTGTGCTTCCTCTTCTTCTCTCTCTCCGCTTCTTTCCCCTTTTCTTTCTCCTTGCCTTTGTCTTTGTGCCTTTTCGGCTGCTTTTCTACAATGGCAAGGTCTCGGGGAGGAGGTCAGGGCTCGATCACCTCAGGAATATGATCCAACTAAGGGTTTCAATGCTCCTCAATGAGTGTGTTTTCAGGTGTCTTGGTCTTCAGAGTTTTACGATATGTCGGCACGTGAACACCACGTTGAGCCATTAGACCTACAATAGAAGCAAAGAGTCAAATCAATACAACTTAAATCAAAAATAAAATCATAAGGACGGAACATACCATCCATGTCCAGACGAGGTTGAGGGGATTTTAATACTAATAGTATATGTCGGGCAGGAAGCTCTCAGGGAAGAGACTTCAAGTAATCCAAAGCCGACAACTCCCCGGTCGACAACATGTCCTCAGGAATCCAGTCATACCGGCGAGGTACCCGGGTCCAGTGGAAGGGGAAAAAGGGGTTATTTTCACTATCAAAGAAGAAATTTCTACCTACAGGGTGGACAGTTACTTTGAAGTAATCGGTTTTAAAACCCTTGAAAGGCGAAGCATAAGCCTTAAACAAT